ACGAGGAAAATCGCCCTTAAAAGTTGTTCTTTTCTATCATTAGATTGGTTTTTAATCTCGATGAGAACTGCTTCATCGGATAGAACTTGAAAAGATGTGTCGAATGCGTATCCTGTTGTCGTGTGTTGACATGGTTTTAAGGAGGAAGTATGGTTTACAAAAAAGGCCTACTGTTCGGAAAAAACGATTTTTTAAACATTCTTCTGAGAATGGGCTTAACATTTTGGAACTTTTTGTCCCTTAGGGATTTTACAGCGTTGCACGTATAGACTGTAATCTGACGGTACCAACTCATGAATGTGTTTCGCTAAAAAATGATGAAAATGCCCACAAAAAAGGTCTGTTCTGTTGGGAAATGACATCTCTGTGGGTCTAGAAGGCCGCGATACAGTTCTTTTTAAATCTGTTAAACGTGATATTCGTCATCAGGAGCTCGAGTTGTACTAGTCCTATTACTCTCAAACTGTTAGGATAAAGTCGGTGTAAACGTGTTACGTTCTCGAAAGAACAACCCTATGGACAAGCAGACACAACAGTCGAAATCCCCAAAACGGTTTTTATGTAGCAATCTTTTTAGCTCACAAACGCTCGATTATAAATTAAATAACCATTTTCTACAAAACTAAGCCGTCAGATGCAATACAAAATTTTAGTGGGCTGATTTAACTACTTATAAGTCGCTATCCTCATTGTCTATCCCAAAATATCGACGTTTTCAGCTTTTATCCTCTAACCTATCATCGCACACACTTTTAATATAACTTCATGTATGGTTTTGTACAGCAGATATTTCTCTTCCAGATCAGACTTGAACTCACCATAACCACTGCATAGTTTTAAAGAAAATTGAAAAATACTTAAACCTGGAAAAAATGCTCACTTTTGGAGGGAACAAAAACTTTGATGGGTACATTATTTTGAAGGATGCAGTTCCAAAGGCTTGTACTGCAGGTCAATAAGTATTTTTGTATGCTCTTTCTAAATAAATAAGAGAGAACGAGAAATAAATTTTGTCTACGACCGACTTGAGTAGCGTCGGGTCGGTTTTCTTGCGGACTCTCTCTTAACGACTATAAAAACTAGCTCCACGCACGTGTGATCATTAATGATTTTGTAAATGATTCTACTACATTCATTGACAAACTACACCTACTTGATCTTATTAGTAGAAGATATTTTCGTTTGATTTACTTCAGAGATGGACGAGTACGAGTATATATACTCGAGTACAAAATTCCTAGTACTCTTACGCGGGACTTTTTTTACGAGTATTCCAAAAAATACTGAAATACTTCCCAAAAAACTGGTGACCTCTTTTTTCACTATTTGCGTATCAAAAAATCGATTTATTTGGAAATGTTTTCGTATTTATCGACTTCTTCAGAAAAAGAAATACTCGAGTACTTTTCAGAAAATACTCGTACTCCTACTCGTACATTTCTGATCTACTTTCATAAATAAATCATCGATCTGTAGTGTTTCAACTTTTCCAAGTTCGATTTAGTCACACCGTTAACTACGAGTTTCTAATAGACGATCAAATCATTGTCTTTGAACTCAAAATTAATTTCAAAAGAAAATCTACATGCTCTTCTTGTCCTTCTCGTACTTTAAGGGAATGGAATCAATTGCCGTTAGAAATAATCTCTAAAGTCTCTGATGGTTCGTTTAAACGTGTATCATATAAATATCCGATTGTTTAAAAAAGAATCTGTTTCTTGTTATTCTTCGCCATATTTTTATTATTATTATTTGTGCTAATCTACGTTTGTTTTTCTCTTTTGTGCCATCCTATGAAATAATTTCAATATAAGCGTTCGAAAATCTCTAGCTCTAAATCGTTAATTTGTGTCTCACTACTCAAAATTATTAATAGGTTTTACATATGTCAAACATGTTTCAGAAAAATTTTCATCATTTTGTCTTTCTTTACAAAATACATTTGAACTTGGAATTATTGACAACCTCCAGTAGCTTCTGATTGATTATAAGATGAGCTTTTCTTAAGTACAAAATAAACTTTTCAACTTATTTTTATTTTTGTTTCCGATGACTTAATCAAATGACGTTGCTTTTATTTTTCTTCTCGTACGTTTACTAAAAATAAATGGTAGGTACATGAAGCTTTGTTTGTTAGGCCAATTAAATGTCAACTATTTTATCGGACGCCGTTTAAAGAAGATGAAAGAAGAAGAAGAAAAAAAAAATGTCATTTTCATAGGAAGAAGAGGGAAACAATTCTAATTGATAACTATCGCAAAGGATGTTGATATGTCTCATATTTTCAAACGAATTTTGTACGTGCTTCTTATAATCTTTGAGCTTTTTTAAAATATGATTACAACTAAACAATAGTATGACAGAAATTCTCAAACATTTAATTTTATCTTCAGTTGAATATATACACTATACATATTTCTTTCTTTGATATGAAATATCGCATTATTCGACAATTAATATCAATTTTTATATTTAACAATGAAATATAAATTAACACATTCTACAATTCATTTTATTGTTAAATTTATACTTCGACAATCGTATTATTGTTATTCAGAAGAAAAACATTGTTATTCATTACTTGTATTTATTTTATTTTTAATATTTACATTTATTTCCACAATGAATGCGTGTGATGTAATGGGATCAAGAGCTTGTGGTGAAAAACCAGGAAAAGAATTGAAAGAAGATGATTCGATAAAATATTGTTTAGCTTCAAAAGTTTATTATGAATGTATACATAAAAAATATCGAGGCTGTGAGGCTAAAGAAAAATATGAAAATGCAATGGAATCAATGTTAAAAGGTAAACATGATCAAACATATGAGATATTTGTATAATTTAAGAATTAGTCAATTTTTTTCTAGAGATTTTTTCAACTTTGATTAAGTTATCTGAAGATATTATGCGATCTTATCTATCATCTATAAAGGATGTCCCACAAGTTCTGAAACAATTTCTAGAACGATGAATTTACAAATTGTTTTAGAAAAAAAAATTCCTTACTATACTAAACGCTAGACATTTTAATTCTCTACAAGATTGTATATATTCATTTTTAAGATTCATCTTTGATGTTTGACACAGTAAATCTAATAGGAAAAGCTGCAAATTTTTTACATTTCCCCTGAAAAAAATCGATTTTTTGCGCCCGATCTCGTTAAAAATGACTTATTCAATAAAACAAGGTATATTGAAAAATTTTCTACAATATGGTGTTGTTTTTTAATGACAAACAATGATTTTTTTAGATGAAATCAGAGCAAAAAAGAATCTTTAAGAAAGGTCATTTTCTCGTATTTTTCGGTCATTTTAGTGACAACCAGTATTCCCTAATTTTTCAGTTAAAAAAAAGTAGCAGATTTATTTGTAAGTACACAGTCGAAATTCTGCATTTTTTGGTCTAAACTAATGATTTGAACTTTGAATTTTATACTGGAATAGTTAAAACGGTATTTTTAGTGCTAGAAACTTCGGTGTATTTGGAAGTTTATGTATTAAAGCCACTAACAATTGAAATAAATTTTCTTCAAGTAAACACTTTTGTAAAGTAAGAATTTCTTCACCATTTGACTGTAATAAAATTATTTCAAATCTTTCTGTAGTCATTATATAAACAAATAAAAAAAGAGAGCAGTTTGCACGTTAAAACTGCTTGGAATTTTGGAAAATTTGAAGCTTTTCCTGTTAGACTTACTGTGTCAAACATCAAAGATGAATCTTAAAAATGAATATATAATCTTGTAGAGAATTAAATTGTCTATCGTTTGGTATAGTAAGGAATTTTTTTTTCTGAAACGATTTGTAAATTCATTGTTCCAGAAATCATTTCAGAATTTGTGGAACATCCTTTATCTACGATAAGAAGAATTTTGTAATTGTTGTAGTTTTAAGTTTTGAAAACTCCGATTTATTTGACTTTTGTCTAAATAAATTTATTTAATTTACACATCTCATATTTTATCTCTTGTATTTAGCCTAATTGAATGACGTGTTTTCTAGGAATAAAACGACGTGTGTCCGAACTTCAGACATTCTGTGATAATAAAATTGAAGATTTCAACGTTAATATAGTATGGGAAGAGAAAAAAGTGTTGCCGGATCAAGATTCTGTACGTGGTAATCATCAAACAATTGGAAATAGTCCTGTTAATAGTGGAATAGGATCAAGTATATCATCCAATGTACAAAAAAATGATTACTGTTCAATTTCTGCTATCAATCAATTTTGTGAACCGTTGAGAGTTGTTCGATTTCTTAATAATTGGAATAGTTTAATAAAACGACAATGGTGTAATCAAGGACAAGTATTTTATCGTTGTATAAAAAGTCGTGTTGAAACATGTAATGATCATGACATACGAAAACATTTTGAAAATATTGAACATTATTTACAATCACAAATAAATGCTAATTGTCCAGGTGGTACCGAAGGATGTCAAAAATCAAATGATGTAAGATGTAAAATTGGAACATTTCAATCAAATCGAACAATAATTATCAATTATTCTCGAATGAATATCATGCTCATACTCTTATTTCTATATAGCATAAAAACATATGCAGGACGTTTTTCATAGTCATAGATATCGCAGTATGTATAGGTTGTTGTTGTTGTTTGTTTTTTTTTGGTAAACTATGTGGCCTTGTTTTCAAAAAAAATACAATCACAATTTTACTACTGAAAAAAAATATATTATTGAACAATATTTCAAAAACATTTGAAAATGATTAGTATTTTTTTTCTTCACTTTCAAATTTTGAAGTATTTTTCTATATGGAGAAAAAAACGAGTATTTATAAAAGATCACAGAATAACTAGTATAAAAACTGTTCATATTATTTACAATTTTTCTATTGTTTTATTCAAAAAGCTAAGCCAACAATAAAAGTTTAAAGAGAAAAAAAAAAGTTATTTTAAAATATTTTATTTTCATAGATATAACGATGTAATTCAGTTTTTAATATATTAATTAGATTTATATTCTTTCAAAAGTCGATAACTCTATAAAATGAATATGTATGAACTACTAGTATACGATAAATCTCAATAATATATTATTAGATCAACATTGAATTTTTGAATGTGTACTGATCAATAAAATTATTTTCCATCAGCACACTTTACATATAAATCATACGTCTCAACTATTCTTCTATGAAATTACTTTGATATGTTAGTGTAAACTTTTTCATTCGTCAATAAATTGATAACTATTACCATATTTTCTGAGTGTTTCATTCCTAAGCATGGTCCGTGTCCTTGTCCATTGAATCTTATCAATGATACATTTAGTATTGCTCCACCAAGTAAACAGACTATCTTAGACGCTATCGATAGTTTAAGAAGTGACATAGCTTCGGGACCTGATAATATACCGGTTACGTTCTTACAAAAATGTGTCCCATTTTTAATCGATCAAATTGAACATCTTTTTTCTCTTTCCATTAAAACTGGCACCCAT